TGGCAGCGACGGTCTACCTCAATTTCTTCGTCACCTCTAAATTATAATTGTAAAAATTTATGCTCTTCATTTTCAGCTGAAAAAAGTGAACCTATTCTATGATAAATTTGCCCTTGCACCGTAAATGTAGGTGAATCCCGGTATTATTATTTCCCGGTCAACTCCGAAGGACGTCATTTGAAAGCATGAGTTATATTTCCGGATCCTGTTTAAAAAGCGCCGTGACACATTAGCATCATATAAAAAGAGAGTTTTTAAAGGTTTTAGCTGTTTAAAAACCGACCAATTGTTTCTTTGAAAATTTTGTCAACGTTCTTTTCGCGCCTGTGTCTGTTCTGGTGTTTCTGATGCCCTTATAGTAGACGTTGAGCTTGCTCAATGAGTCTGTGTTGAGTTTCATCAGGTGTTTCCGCGGCTCTTAAGGCGGCCTGTCGTTCCGCTTGTTCGAATAGCCTTTGCTGACTTTGAAAATGTGTTTCTGTAGCTCTTAAAGTAGATTGACGCTGTGCCTGTTCAAGACGCCTTTGCTGACTTTGATCAGGTGTTTCAGTAGCTCCTAAAGTAGCTTGACGCTCTGCTTGTTCAAGACACCTTTGCTGACTTTGAGCAGGTTTTTCAGTAGCTCTTAAAGTAGCTTGAAGCTCTGCCTGTTCAAGACGCCTTTGCTGACTTTGAGATGGTGTTTCAGAAGCTCTTAAAGTAGCTTGACGCTCTGCCTGTTCAAGACGTTTTTCCAAGACTTTGAGAAGATGTTTCGGAAGCTCTTAAAGTAGCCTGACGCTCTGTCTTTTCAAGACGCCTTTGCTGACATATAGAAGGTATCTCAGATGCTCAAAAAAGCAGCCTAACGCTCTGCTTATTCTTGCCTTCTCAGTTCAGCTTCCTCTAAAGATTCTAGCGAATGAGCTAATCTTTTCGCTTGTCTTTGAGAAGATACTCTTAAAAGGCTGGACTTACGTTTGCGAGGCATTATGAAGTAACACAAAACCTATTTATAAAAAAAACCGTTAAAATACATAAAAGGAATTAAATTTCCTTTTAAATATTTTTTTAAAAGCAAATCCAAAGTATATGAAAGGAATAAATATTCCTTTTAAATATTTTTTAAAATCAAAACAACAAAACCAATTGAAGACACAACACGAAAACGAAAACGATAGCCAAAAAAAATCGAATCAACTTAAACCAAATCACAAAACAAATCGCAGAAAACCGAAATCGAAAGCAGTAGTCATTATAAATACAACTAACGATAAAATAAGTAAATGTATAGGTACCGTATACACTATCTATACTATTAATATTCCTATGAAATATTGTTTAACATCCTAAAACAACGAAAACCAATTCACGATTCTAAATAAACAAAATCCAAAATCAAAGTCTAAATATTTATAAAAGAATACCAACCAAATCAACAAAACCGATCCAAGAAAATACAGAAATTCGAAAATGAAAGTTTCCATTATAAATCGATTCAACCTTAACCAAATCACAAAGCAAATAACAAACAATCGAAAACGAAAGCAGGTCCTATTTGTGCTGCAGCCTATTATTGCAGCGTTATGACTCTAGAAAATCAGAAGTTTGTACGGCTTACAAATATTTTTTATAAATAAATGAGAGTGACAAAAAAGAACGTGATTCACCCTTGATAAATTTTAAAAATCATATGCTTAGTCTACCCCGAAGAATAAAGCAGAATGTGTAGTTATCAGTAATCAAAATCCATGCCTGGATTTCGTCATTCACCATACGAAACACAGCAGCGTTTTCGTCCTTTTTACGTTGATACTTTAAAGGAGTGTAGTCCTTCTTCAGTCGAGCCAACCCATTCGTGCTGCAGACGTAATACTTTGCAGTGACTCTTTCATAACATACATAAACATAAACACTCGCGCCTGTCACCCAGAGGCGTAGGCAGAGACTACAGACTTCCATTTAGCACGATCCTGACATACCTCTCTCGCCTCTTCCACATCCATATACCTACGCATACATGCTCGTCGGTTAAGGGTACTCCTAATTTGGCCCATTTTTAGTATATCTCCAATTTGGTCAACAAATTTCCGCCTAGGACGTCCCTCTTCGACTTCCATTCACTTCTGCAACATATATTTGCTTTGTCAGTCTTTCCGCATTCATTCTTTCTACATAACCAAACCACCGAAGCATTCCTTTCTTAATCTTGGTCACTGCATCATCTTGCAAACCACACTCTTCTTTTATCACACAGTTTCTCACCTTGTCACTCTGATTCAGCCCTAACATACTCCTTAGCGACTGCATTTCTACTGCATTTATTCTACTCTCGTGCTTCTTCTGCCACACCCAACTTTCACTACCATATGTTAAAGTAGGGACTAATACAGCATTGTAAATTGCCATACGTGCCTTTTTTGACACATTCTAACTTTTCACAATAGAGTGTAGAGCCCCATTTACTTTATTTCCTGCATTCACTCGTCGTTCAATATCCTTATCATATCTCCCATCCCTGCTGAATATACTTCCCAAATATACGAACTCATCCACTTGGTCAATTAACTCTCCTTCTATTCTTTTTTTTCTTTTTCACATTGCTTTTTCACATACCGTTCTGCTTTCTTCTCTTCAAAACCCATCACTTTCGTCTCACTTACGTTCACGTTCATTCTCCTTTCTTTTAATGACCTGTTCATTAATGTAACCATCATTTGCAACTCGGCCGTGACTCTTTCAATGGCAATAAATAAATAAAAACACCTTATTTCACCCTTTTTGAAATAAATATTACCTAAAATATATGTAACATAACCCTAAATTTGCATGCTAATTATAAGCAAAACATGTGAACAAATGTGCTGCATTAAGCTACTATTTTACGCTGGTATTCTGTGAGAGCGTGGTCCTTCCCCGGTCGAGCCGACCCATTCGTGCTACAACTATACTACTAATATAACTGCAGCATGGCTCTACCATGTAAATAATTTTATATTTTAGTTGTTCAAAATATTTGCTTTAACTATTTATGAAATGTATTTTACTTAACCTTTAGCTGCCGACCTGGTCTAAACGTAGCACTTACGCCGACGTGACGACTGAGAGACGTCAAACTTTAAGTACTTGAATAAAATGTGTATTTTCATGCTACATTTTTCTATTTTATACATTTAAAAAAAATTGTTGTTTGAGGTGACAAACTACAGAATAAAAAAAAATTCACGCTATTTTTCTGGTAAAATCAACATTTATTCGAGAGATCTCAATTATTTGGCAATAAATTTTAAGGACTTACTTCAGTCTTCTTTTTCTCTAAAATTAAGTAATTAACAACAAATTAACTTAAAATATGTTATCTTCTATAAACTATTATCAAAATAAAACATAAATCTTACTTATTAGTTAAAAAATAAAAAAAATGACAGCCCTCGAATATTTGGTACATTCACTACGTACATTTGCAGTCAATGCATATTTGTAGGCAGCAAGTAAGGCACATTGGTTTCTTGCATTTGCAGCAACAGTACTTCGTTCGCCTTTTCAAACGACTGGGACAGATTGCACATGTCTTTCTAACACCTGAATCTGGATCCTGGTAAGTTTTTGGTGGTGGAGGCTCGGGCATATCGGCGGGTTCAATAACTCGCTCGATACTTAGCCGCAATTCCCGTGGGATCCTCTCATTGTAGACGCGTAATTTCATTTCCGGGAGTACTAATTCACGAGCCAGCAGGAGTAAAAATCGGCCACGACTTATGTCGCCCTTGTTTGTGCACTTGTTGTACAATACATACGTATTAACACCGCTCATATCTATCAACCTGTAAAACAAAGTCATAGGCCAACGTCGAGTTCTTCGAGAGCACGAGTAATTCGAGCATTTCTTATCCACCTCATCCACCCCTCCTTTCGTCTTGTTATAGTCAATTATCATAATAGGCTTATTAGTTGCAGAATCAGTCTCTTTGATATGGTGCATAGACGACACCAGTAATACAGCTTTTTTAGGCTTAGTCACGTAAGACAGAATAGTATTGTCTTTGGTGAATCCGTATAACGAAGAACCAACCACTCTATCTTTGTGAGGCTGAAATTCTGGTGGGATCTCCCTCTTGTTTTTCTTCATAGTGCCCAAATAAGTAAATCCACGATCTTTCAGTGCTTGCAGTAGTTCTATCGAGGTAAACCAGTTATCTGCTGTTATATTTCGGTTACAGCCATCGATCCCTTTACAAAGATGTAGAACAGATTGTGTGGGAATTGAAAAGCGTTTCTCTGCATGACTTAGACCATGGCCATCAGATCCTGTGCCATAATATACATAAGCATTGTATATATAAAAACTTTGAGCGTCAACCAGCAGGAGAACTTTTAATCCATATTTATTTGGCTTGTTTGGCATATATATTCTAAATTTGCAGCGCCCTCTAAAAGCTACAAGCATTTCATCTACACAAATGTAAGGACCCAAAGTGTAATTTTTCTGGCAATTACTGATGAACTTATGAAACAACTCTGAAATAGCGGCAAGTTTATCGTCTTTTAATCGTTCAGATCTTGTTTGAGTATTATCAAAACGCAAACAGTTTAACAAGACCAGAAATCTGTTTTTGGACATAACGCAGCGAAAAATATCCCGTCCTGTGCCATCTGTTGCAAAAAATAAAGTCTGAATTTTCGTGATTTGATTGGAATACTGATGTATAAAACAATAGCCCAATAAAAGCCTTTATTTCTGTCTCATTCGTTGAGCCTAGTTCAGATCTGCTACTGTCTTTATACTTAGCGCTATAGCTATCTAATTTCTTGTTTGTATAAGTTACTATCATTTCAATCATGTGATCACTAAACATCAGTTTCCATAATTCCGTGAAAGATTCAAATTCAAACGGACTTACTTGAGATGGTGCATTGACAATATTGTGCACGCGTACTCGACTTGTTCGGGATGGTTCCACCGATGCCCATTTGTACCTATTCTTCCCGTAAAAATAGCGCGGCAGCTCTCCTGTTGATTCTTAATTTGGCTCCTGGTCTATTCTAAGATCTTCACTACCCTGGTCATTTCGCGTCTCTACTTCGCTATACTGCTCCTCTCCGATCTCTTCAATTCTAGTCTCTGCTGCGCCATGCTGTTTCTCTCCGACTATTGTCTCTTTTCCGATCTGTTCTGTAATGTCCTGGCTTCCATGAGCTCGTACTTCTCTTTCCTGTTCTTCATTGTCGTGATTATGGTTGATTTCTCCGTGGTAAACTTCCTCAACATGGGGATACGTGACGTCAACATCATCCTCATCGGATTGTTCAGATTCCGTGTTGTGATCGCTCTCTAAAATAAAATCAGGATCGCCTACATCGTCGTCAAAATCACTACAGTTGTCGTCACTCTCGTTTGTAAGATTTTCACATATCTCTTTATCTTCTAAAGGCCTATTCTGTTTTCGAAGTTTCAGAGGCCTCTCGGGGAACTGAACCGTCATCTTTTGCAGGTATTTTCTGCTCACTAGACGTGACGTTTCTCCTTTTAGGCATTCTGCGATTAAAAGTATAATTTTAAAGCCGATGTGACGTCAATCAGACACTATAAGCTACCACACATGAATACCGAGGTGACGACCGAGAGACGTACGAAATTTAGTACATAAACACCGTGCTTACGTCTGTGAGACGTCGATCGCTTCAATACGGAGATGTGTGCAACGCCGCCGGCGCAGCGTTGACTGATGGCTTGTGACGCGGAGGGAGGAAGGTAGCGGGAAGGGCGGCGCTAACGGTGGCGTGATTTTAGAAATATTTTAAAATGAAAATTTATTACGTCTGTGAGACGTATAGGTCGGTAGTTAAAGGTTAAACATTCGATTAGAAGAAACGATAACCAGATAAGATAATGACGACCTTTTTCTTCGTGGTAGAAACAAACAGCAGCTACATATAACTGCAGCACGAAAAAGTTGTATTTACCGGAGTAGGACCATATTTTTACAGAACATCAGCGTGAAACAGCAGAACAATTGCTGCTGTGTTCCGTATGGTGAGTGTAGAGAACCGGAAACCCTTTGTACTGGTAACGAGGCATTCCATCTTAGACGTCCGGTGTGACAATGCGTCTGAATTATAATTTGTAATCGATGACATATGTTGACGGCTATAGGCCATTGCATTAACTTACTACCAATAGGTAGACTGTATACTCGTTGGTCACCCTTATTCTATAAAACAATGCAGAAATTCGATAGGTGTAAGTGACTTAGCCCCGTGTTTTTATCAGTGGACTTGTAGTGACTGTAATGATGGTGATGATGATAATATACCATTGGTGGACTCAGTAGAATGCAACAGAGGAACCATTGGAATGATTTTAGCGTTTGTTTCAAATATATACCTCCTTGTAGAGTGTGATTCAAAATTTGTAGATGTAAAGTCCGGTTGGCGAACACACACATTAAAAGGCTGTTTTCTTTTTCTTAATCGGCCAGTGGGAGTCCATTGATGTTCATAGGTCTCTCTGGTGGAGAAAGGATATCCATATATATATATATATATATATATATATATATATATATATATATATATATATATATATATATATATATTATGTGATTGACGAAAGAAGGACCCGAAATCTCGCACATTTTACGCTGCTGCATTTTGCTAGTCTTGTATATTACATCTGATGTGAACTACATAACATTGCTATATTACATTGACAAATATTCGATTTTTCAGCCATCAGATTTTTTGGCATTTCCTATAGTTGCGTTTTTTGACACTTGCTAGACAAAAAGGAATGATGCATTCTCTTTCACAGCTACATCATAGGCGGACCGATAATATACGACTATGATGTAATGTTATTGTTATATGATTGTTGTTTACAAAACTTTTTAACATAAAAATACTAACGGATATCGCCATTTAACTTAGATAAAATTGATTCATAGGATAAAATACAACATATTGTTGCGTGAATAAGTCAACTAGCGCCATCTAGTGTCAGGAACGAGAGCGAGGGGAGCTTTGCAGAAAATGACATCACAAATCTCTCAACCGACAGCGCCATCCGAAGAACTAAGTTTCTAGAAAATCTATACTCGCACACTCGTCCCTTTGCGCGTATTTACTTGAATATTCCGGATGCTTCTTTGCTAATTTAAATAAATAGGCGCTTCAAGATGCGATCGGGGAGTATTGAAGTGGCGAAACAAGCGAAGTCTCGGAGCAGAATAAAGTGAATTAGTGTGTTTAATTATTAGTGTTTTAAGTTTTAATTTGTGTAAAGTAAATTAAAGTGTTAATTTTGGTAATTTTTATCGGCAATTTTTATTGTCACGAACCTCAAGCTCCTAACAATATTAAACTCATTAAAAGTACTCACTCACTCACTCACTCAACCGTATTGTGTGAATAAAATAGTTAAAATTTATAACTTTTATATTTATATTCAATCGGGTTATAATTAGTTCGATGCATAAATTTTATCGTACATTATCTTGGCAAACTATCGCTATTGAGAATAGGAAACCCATTAATGTCTTTATTTAATTAACCTTACCTTAATGCTCGATCGCTATTGCTTTTCATTCGATACGTACTATTAAATATGAAATAAAAAGACGGTTGCCAAAATACTGTATAATATCTCTTTCACCTATTACGACAACCACAGGATGATATGGAGTAGTGGTTATTCTTATACCGCCACTACATGGGTAAAGGGGATCTCGGGCTTCTCTGAATCGATGGCCCTTCACTCCGAGGGACCACTAGCCAAGACCCTTAACGCTGGCTCTCACTGTAGCAATACGGCGAGTCTTCTAGTTCCTAACTCGTCGTTCTAAGTCACACTACGTTGGGTTCGAAACAACGCAGTGGACGCACCCTTCGATAACGCCTACTTCAGAAACACACACGCCTCTTCTTAAACGATGGTTGATGCCTGAGATTAACGTGTCCACGCTTGTTCCCGGTCTAGACATTAAATATATTTATTGTATATTTACTTACTTTCCCTAAATTTTAGGGTCAACACTGAGAATTAAATAGCGATTTTCTTGAAAATTCTTGAGAAATGTGATAACCGGGGAAGTTTTTAAATGTTGCTGTTAAACCGGAATTTTTTTCGAACTTAACTGTAGTGGAGATTTCGATCTTAACCGTAGTGGAGATTTCGAACAAACTGCAAATAATTCAACGTAGGGGTATGCTTTTATAGCTATACCGTAAAGTGGGCAATATGCAAAAAACCTCCTATTTTGCGAGTATTTTTCGTTATCACATTTCTCTTTTTGTCGAAATAACTTTATTTTCAACAAAGACACATACAAAAATTATGCTTCTCCAAACAGAACACATAAGATTGCACAATAAACATAACAAAACTTAAACATTTTACATGACATTAATAAAATACAAAGCATTATTACGTAATTTAAATCTTATCATACATGTCGTACACCTTAAAATCTTAAATATTAATTTTCATTACAACTTATAGTAACAAATATTGTTCAATTTACATAGGTCTTATCGTAACTAACATTTATCTTAAGCAAATAGACAGCCAAGACAGAAAACAAAGCTTTAATCGCATTTTTAAACAAAGTTTTAAGCAATTTTTTACCTACAAAATATGATAAGAGGCTCTCGCCCTCTCGCTCTAGCAATGGCTATCCTTGTCTTTCCTTACCATATACGTTTACTACTCTAACATTGTATTATCTCTTTTTTTCTTTGAAAACGGTGGAAGTTTATTAGAACTAATAATAAACAATATTTCGAATTATTTTAATTATTTTTTTTAAATAAATTTCCTTTAATCATTTAATATTTCGGTTCGTGTTGCGCAATGGATTGTTACGTAACACATGATTCTAAATAAAAACAAATATTCTTGCATCTATCGCTTCATTCATATGACATTCATACATTCACACACTGTCATAAGGTACAGGGATTATTGATAGGATCGGGCGTTACTTTGGGGAAATCCATTATAATAAAAAATTAATTACTTCGCAACCTTCCGCCAACTAAATACAATGATGTGTCTTACCTGGATTGAAGAGCACCTCCCGCCCTCCCTCAATTGCATGCACTAACTCCGTCACCACTAGTCCCAGCACCACTACTCCCGGCACCACTACTTCCAACACCACTATTCCAGGTAAGACACACCATCTATACCAATAACCACAATACGACACGTGTTTCGCCTCTACACGAAGCATCCTCAGGTAATGTAAACTCTATGGCGGTCTTAGCGGTCAGACGCCGTAGAGTCTACATCACCTGGATGTAGATTCTTCGCACCCCTGCCCCATTAAAGGGGCGCCAGGATCTCGGTGTCATTTCTTTTATTTTATGTCTTATGGTGCGAACTATGGGAGGGGGGGGTTGATAGATTTTACGCGCTACCAAACGGCGAGGAGCCGAGTCTATTATTTTTTGGCTTTGTCGCTCGTTTAGCATTACTCGGGGGACACGTTTAGGGTGGGCCTAGGGTTAGGGTTAGGTGGTCGAAGCCTACGGACGCGAGCGACTCATCCCCTTTCACATTTAGGCTGTTTTATATATATTGTCGCCATTTTAGGACCCACAAAAACAAAATTTATATATAATTTTAGGAATATATTAGACATTAGTTCTGGCCTTACCATTATTTTCAATTTGACTAATGATCACTGTGCCCCTAATGTGCCTTCATATCAATCAATTTAATATTTTTTTTATTTTAAACTATGGAAACGATATTTAATTAGCGTACTTAGTATTTTATCCATATTACTTAATTATTTTGCTTTCATAGAAATTTTTTGATAGAAAAGTTTACCGTAAATCTAATTTTGCACTTTCAATTCACCGTCAAAACTCAAGTTCAATTCGAGTAAAATATGAGTATAATTTATTTTTTATTCTGAAATTAGATATAGCCATCATTAAATAAACTATGTAATACATTATAGTTACCGCAAAATAAAGTTTTTTTTTTTAATTTTTTGGTAATCCCGTTCAATACTCAGTTTAAAACGTTTATATTTAAAAGTTTGTATGTATTTTCCTGCCTACAATTCCAGGTAAGACATACCATCGACGACAATACGACACGTGTTTCGCCTCTACACGAGGCATCCTCAGGTGATGTAAGACTCTACGGTGACTGACCGCTACGACCGCCGTAGAGTCTACAACACAAAATATAAACAATAAATTAAAAGTCGCCAAACAGCTTATCTCCTGGTTGGAGTATACATAGTATGATAATATTTTATTTAACAACACGATTCTCTAGGGCTATGAATTTCTTGACTACGAAAGACGCTTTACGTGCCGGCACTGTGTTGATATTAATTTTTAAAGAAAATGCTCGACTCTAATTTTATTTCGTGAAAGCTGGCATAAAAAATTCATTAGCAAACCACATCATTTTCATACAATTTGGCAGTAAGTAACTGAATGAATAAATGAAGGATTTATTCTTCAC